TCCACCCCTCTCCACTATGCTGACCAGTATTAGAGATGGAAGCAGTAGTGTGCCCATGTGAGGTCTCTATAGCTATTTATAAGGTTTAGAGAATTGCTATTCAGAGCATTCAGGGAACTTGGGATGCACTCTTGGCTGAGCAGCAAACGTGGTTACACACGGATTTGCCCATTGATTCAACATCTGTATCCTATCTGTATGCCAGCTACTTGTCCCAGTTCTGGTTTCCCGAAGGAGTTTGCTTTTTGAAGATTCATTTTGAGATCATTACAAGGGTAATCAACCTTTTGACTAGGTTCTTGTTAAGTGAGCACCATCCAGGCTGTACTGAATAAGACAGGATGTTTTTGGGAAAAAACTCAATGACATCATGAGATAAGATGATGGATATGAAGGAAACAACTGACCTAAATTACTGAAAGAGGCTTAATTCTGGCAGTTCCTGATTAGGTTTTATTTGAGCATTTGATTCAATGTTCTTTTCTTCCTAAGGTAGAATGTGTGTGTGCACATGCAATTTTGAGATTTGTTTTAATCTTGTTTTAGGGGAGTTAATAATAGCATTAATACAAGGTCAGATGAGAATTTACTCATGTAATAGGAGTATTGAGGTGACTGTGTGTTGCCAGGAGAGAGGTGGTTTGCTTTGTTTTGAAAGGTGAGAGCATTTGGAGTTAGCAACCTAATGGATATGTTTGCATGTGTTAGCTTGTAATTATATCATACGCTAATCTTTGATTTTTTTTTTTTTTTTTTAATTTCAGATTTTGATGCATACCAAGGAGATGGTGCAAAAGGTAATGCTGAGCATTTTCATTAAACAACAACCCTTAAAGAGCACACCTGGTGAATTTTTTTTATTCTAGGAGAACTGTAACCCAAACAGACCTGAAATCACTTCTTTGGATGTCTGGTTTACAAATGTAATCCTTCCTAATGGATAATAGCTTTTTTCTTTTCCTACCATAGATATGATCTGGCCCCTGCTTGAAGCCTATGTGCGACTGTTTCAAGCAAATTAGCAACAGTGCTAATTAGAGTTTACTCATAGACCTGTTACACCATGTGTTCTAGTGTTTCATTATGGTTTATTTTTTGGCATCCTTTAAACTCTGTCACAGGGTGGTTTTTTGACTATATGGAGTTTAACATGGACATAGCCATGCTGCAGTTTTTACAACTGCATTGGTTTTCCACCACTGAAGACATCAGGTTTTCATTTTTTCAAGTTAGCATTATGTAATTGTATGTATCTGCCTATTTTTTTTGTTGACATTTACTGGTGTTTCACCTTTTTCCTTGCTATGCCTTCCATATGCACCTCGGGCTTTTTTGTCTAGAGTTTGCTCCATTATCCCAGAGTATTATGGCAGTCTGGCTGGTGTTTGAACACAATCTTTTCCAAGTAGGGCATTTGAATTGTTACAAGGATCAGAGTGAGAGATGACATGAAAGGCAGAGTGTCAGTCAGAGAGAAGGATTCACATAGGTGTTTGTGTTCATCTCCAGGTGGAATTGTTCAGTAGTTCAACCTGGGGATACAAAACTTATGGGTCATAGTAGCTATATACTTATCCAAAAGGAGTGCCTTGTTCTCTGAAATATCTGCTGGCCAGAGGGGGGACTAACACAGGTAATTAGATTACAGCAGAAGAAAAAAGATGGGAGTGGGAAGATGGAAATATGAAGCATAATCTGAAAAAGTATAAGAGCAGCAGCCTAATTTGGACAGTACTGTGGTATTCTCAGTTACTGTATCCACTAGCCAATACTTTCACTAGATTTGTTTGAAATAGAGTATCTAAGGTTTTTTTTGTTTTGTTTTGTTTTTAATCCAGAATGACTTTTTTTGCAATAGTATTGTGATGGCTACAAATGGGATAGGATACCTGACTATAGTATTATCTTTCAAGCACATTGGCTAAAAATCTTATCTGATTAGCCTGAATTTGTCCAGCAGTCTTTGAATATAAGTGATCTTCTTCTGTCCTAGCAGTCCAAAGTTATTTCTGATTAGAGTTCCTGCTGTTTCTCTAGATTAGACTTGTTCACTGACTTATTTTTCTAGCATTCATTTAGTAAAATTTTAACTACTTATATTATGTACACAACTGAACAGTGATTTTTTTTTTAAACGTATCAGTGGTTTAAGTTTCATTATCCTCTTTAAATTCAAATATGTCTTAATGAAATGTACAGACTTCTCAGTAAAAACTTACTTTACGTTTTTCTGCTTTTTAGTGTTTAAGGGATAATATACGGACAATGATCTTTCTGAATCTTGAAAATTAGGTGGGACTTCAAAAAGATGGAGTGGTTCTGTTTTGTTTTTCAAAGCAGTTTGTTTCATTTAGATGAACCTTGAAGTGATTTATGGAGACACAGATTCCATTATGATAAACACTAATAGCACCAATTTGGATGAGGTCTTCAAGCTGGGGAACAAGGTAAGGAATTTTTTCTATTTAAAGCTTTCCTATATGTGTGTGTTGTAACACTGGGTGGAGCAGATAGCATTAAGAGAGGACTCCATGGCATAAGCAGAGAATAGGCCATGAGGAAGAACTTGACCACGTATGGAAGCTATGAAGTAGTAAAAGCTCAAAGTGCCCTATCTTCAGGTGTAGCTATTCTGTGCATTTTTAAAAGTGATTAAATTAAAATGAAACATTTTGTTGTATAATGAGCTTTTTTACCAATCGTAAGTTACCAGTATCTGAATACTTGGTAAGCCAAAATGTAAGGTACAATTCGTCCATATTAGTTCCAGTTACAACGTGAACACAATTTTGATTTTAATGATTTTTGTTTTGACATGAGAGATGTCTATCAGTTTAGTTTTCTTTAGTTATGTAGTATGTATTACACTCTATGTACCATCAGATTTCCAGTGGTAAAATAAAATATTAATTTCCAAGGTATACTAGATACGGAAGAGATGTGTTTGATTAGCAGTTGGCAAATTGACGATGTTGGCAATTTATGGCTCTCTAAAATTGTGGAAGAGAAGTGAGAAATGTTCCAGAACATTTTAAAGAAAAGATGTGAGAGAAGTTGTTTTTGAAAGATGGAAGAAATTGTGATGAAAATGAGAGCTATGGAAGCTCTAAAAAACCCCAAAAAACCATAGAGGTTTTTTTCAGTATAATATTAAACAAAAGTCATGTATTTTTAAGGCAAGAGTGATTCTGGGTTTTTTTTAGAATACTTCTGCCTTCATGCTAAGTTGGTACTTTGAGAAGTATGCATCTCAGGAGCATGGAAAAAGGAATAATATCTTGATGTCATAACCGAGTAGCAGGAGAGCTGATGGCATGGATGAAAGAAATCTCTCTCTTTTGTTTGCCACATACAAGACTATATATAATTTCAAGTGTATATACACTAGAGTGTGAGAAAGTTTAATCTTACTCTAGCCACGTGTGTGTGTGTGTGTGGTTTCGTTGTGGTTTGGTTTTTGTCCCTCCCATTTGCTGGCTAAACATTATAGAAGAACAGTTAAATAATACAATTTTTATAAAGTCTGCCAGGATCATCATCATATGTTAAATACTTCTGACTTTGATTCAGGTTTACTGAGAGAATAGGTAGGTTTTTGAACTTGTCACCTGCTTAATGATTCTTTTTAAGAGTCAAATGTTAGGCTTTTTTATCCCATGTACTTCTGTATCCTATACCAGTTGGTTTTTTTTAAAAAAAAAAAACCACAAACCAAACAAAAACAACAAAAAACCCCCAAACAAACCCCAAAACCAAAACAGATGTGTTTTGATTAATGTTTTCATATTGTATACTTGATTTTAAAAGTGAGTAAACTTATGTCTGTAAATACACTCAACCCTAGCATCACAATTGTGAAATTATTCTTTCTGTGACATAAAAAAGTGGTTCTTGTGTTTCTTGTTCCACGTGTTTCTTGTTTGTTTGTTTGTTTATTCCTCAAGAAAGTGGTAGTGACTTTTTTGCAAACACTTCTATCATTTAGGTTTTCCTCATTTTGCACAATTCATATAAACAATTTTCAGGATAGACAATTGTATCTGTTCAGAGGAACACTCCAAGAAATGTCACTGTTCTGTTGCTTAATAATTTCTTTCCCAAAATTTCGTGTTCAAAGACGAGGGATATTTACATTGCATTCATGATACTTTTGCTTTAATGTAGACTGTTTGGAAGGCACACAGGTTTAATGCAAACAATTACTGTGAGAGCAGTTAAGAGTATGTACCCCTGTTCTGATGTAAAGTGTGAATTTATAGGTTGTCTTCAGCGATGAAGCATTCCTCTGAGAGATTAATTTTGTTTTTCCATTGGAGAAAATTCTCTCATCTTTTTTCTGAATTTTCCCATCTAATGCCTTGTCTCACAGTCTTCTGGTTGTGTTCGCTCCCGCCCTTTATCCCCCATTATTTATATCCATGCCCCTTTTAGTCATTACTCAGCAGAATTTCATACGTTTCTCATTTTCTGTGCATCCTTGTCAATCAGATTTGCTGGTACACTCAATGCTGCACTGTTGCTGGTTTTTAAGCACTTAATTAGTATGATGTAAAAAAAAATTGAAAAGACTTAAAAAAATAGCAGAAGAATGTTCAGAGGAATTGTTTGACTGATTTGCTTTAATTAACAAAATATGAACCTCTTGGCAAAATGGTTGTGCCTCATGATGTCCTTCATAATTTATAAATATACAAGGGATATAAAACTCTAAGGATAGACCCATATTATTAAAAGTGTTGATAGTTCCTGCAGTAGGAAAAATGGAGATCTAAGTGAGAAAAAATAAATACACACATATACATACACAGCAAAAATTTGTGAAGAAAGTTTTGGTTAAAACTGGTAGTGTGGGCCCAAAGCTAGATAGAAAACCAATGAGATTTTATGCTGAAAGTACTGTTCCTGTTTTAGTGAGGGTTATGCGTTAGAGGGCAAATGAACTTTAATTTATATAAAACTTCAGTGAGGCATGAGAAGGGGATAGTTCATAGTTGGTGGTCTCTGACAAGAGAACTGGAAGTAATGGAGGAGTAAAAGTGGATAGGGAGATACTGAAAATCAAGAGGGAAAAAAATTTGTAGAGGAAAGAAAATGAAGAGTAGAAATGTGAAGACAGAACAGGACATCTGAGGAGTGATACGCAGATATTCTGTTGAAGAAAGTAAGGTAAAAATGTATGAAGAAAGAAAAATGCAAGTGGGGACCTTCTTGACAAGCCAGTAGGTGGGTGAACGTGTACTGGAACCAAGGTTTGTTGTTGAAAGTACACGCTGTTTTGAGATGTTGCACTTCTGTCCTCTCAGAATAGAGTTAAGAAATGTGGAGCAACTTGATATTTGGTACTATATTAAGACAATATATCAAGTGCAATTTCAAGCTTTTGTATGTGGGTAAGACCTAGCCTGTGTGTAGAAAAATGGTACCTTTTCCTCTCAAAGAAATCAGGCTATAGAAAATGTAGGCATATTGTGGGGAAGGGTATAAATAAACACTTGCCCATTTGTGCATGTTTTTCCAGAACATACACACACAGAGCTCTGGTCTGCAGTCACAGTTCTCCTTCCCCTCCCTGGTTTAGGGGAAAAAAAAAAAAAACCAACCAAAAAAAAAAAAAAAAAAAAAAAAAAACCCCATGCCTTTGCAAGGCACCTTTTTTATAAAGCGATTTCCATATTCTGTCTAAGTGACTGTCTCTTATTTTTTGCTAGTGGATCCCTACTCTGAAATTCCTTGTTTGATTATTTTATGTGAGAGGCTAGATGGAGCAGCTGCCCTAGTAAAACAGGCAGTTATCTGCAAGGTCACATTCAGTCCCATGCTTCTCTGCCCTGCTTAATTTTGTTAGGGAGTTGGATATACCAAGCTGTAAATCCTGAAGAAGCCAATGGGTGAACCTTAATTTTAGTAGTAGCTCATAGTTACTACTGTGTACTTAATTTCACCATTAATGATATCTGACGAGTCTTTAAAATGTGTATGCAAACACACAGTGTGTAATGTTACTTGTTTTAAAACTTAAGAATTATACACTTCTAGATGGAAGTTAAATTTCTCCATAGTTATTAAGGTGTTACGTTTGGTTTTAATGTTGGTGCATTCACAGATCAAAAGTGAAGTGAACAAGCTCTATAAATTGTTGGAAATCGATATTGATGGAGTCTTTAAGTCCTTGCTACTGTTAAAGAAGAAGAAATATGCTGCTCTGACTGTGGAACCAACAGGAGATGGGAAATATGTAACTAAACAAGAACTGAAAGGATTGGATATAGTCCGAAGAGACTGGTGTGATCTTGCAAAAGAGACTGGAAAGTGAGTTTCTTTGTGGCATTGTCCTCTTTGTTTTGTTTTAAACAGTACGTGCTTCATAAACATTTGGAATCATGTGGCTGTTTCCTGAACAGTGCAGATTGGTGACTAATATCTGTGTTAGGGCATCTTAACTGATTTTTGTAGGAGATAGTGACAACATTACTTTTTGGCATTGGTAACAGATAACACTTGTGCAAGTCCAAATGTCTCTAATTTCACTATCTGTTTTTGCATCTTCTGTGGAAGCTGTGCATTTGAGTTGTCGCAATTTTGTATATGCAGTTTAATAAACGACAGCTGAAATCTTGTGAAAATGGTAGGCGCTATCAGCATTTGGAGTCATAGATTTTAGGTCAGATTGTTTTTCAAAGATGGTTAAAGAAGCTGATGGTTAGCTCTTTCAGCATCCTCTAATAAAGCGGGAAGTGCACCAGATGAGATTCTTCTGATACTTCATTATGATGGATATTGGATTGATGATTTATTAGTTGTCATTGCACAGGGCATTTTTGTACCGAAATTCAATAGAGATAATACATTTAGCACTGTAGAAAGAAAACTGGAGTGGGTGGAGAGGTGGTCATTTGGGGGCTGACTCAACTTACATTGCGTACTGCCTCTTGAAAACTTAAATAAATTGTGGTCCAAATGTATCCAAAAATGAATACTTTTTTACATCTGTAAAAATACACCACACACTTGCTTACTGTTCTTAAGACTTGCATTTTCTAAGAAAAGATGCATCATAATAGAAGCAAATTTTTCCAAGTTAGGAATGTATTAGTAATTAAAGCTATACAAATGTTTGAGAGTGTTCTTTAGTGACTAACTCTTCTGCAGCTGGCAGATCTTCCAACTACATTTTACAGAAATAGGCAAAACTTTGCTTACTTGATACGTTCTCTTGTCCCCCATCTTAAGATACCTGCTATGGAATAATAAATAGCAAAATGACATGGGAGCAGAAAATAGAAACCCATTGCACTCAACAATTCCAAATCACTGTTTAACATTAGAACTATTTACAATAATTTGCTTTTAGTAAAATAAGTAAATAAATAAAACACAACATGAAATATCCTGGCAGATTTCTATAAATTTCCCATCAGACTTCATCCTCATGCTCTTTAATTTCTAGAAGTAACTCAGTGGAAGAGAGGACTGTGTTTATTGTAATGGTTTTGCTTTGCATGTGTTAAACTTTTCTTCATTTCTGAACTGTTTTTACAGCTATATAATCGGTCAGATTCTTTCTGATCAGCCTCGCGACATAATTGTGGAAAATATTCAAAGGCGGCTTATACAAATTGGAGAAAATGTGATCAGCGGTCAGATCCCAGTAAATCAGTTTGAAATAAACAAGGTAAATGATGCCTCAGCTCTTTTCTGTCTCAGAAGAACTTTACCATTCCTGAATATATTGACTGCTGATAAAAATCTTTTTAATCCTTATGATGCTGTGAAATATCAGGAGTTTTATTAGATACTGAATAGCGCGGAACATACTGCAAAGATCCTATGATATGAGAAAAAATACCTTGTGGGGCTGGAGGCCAGTCTTACTTCCTCAGAATAGTAACTTTGTGTCTTGTCCCATCCTGCTGTCTTCCCCACTGATTCTGCACTTTGAGAATGACATGATAGCTTATGCTTTTAGGAGAAGTTTTCTCCTACATTGTCATTTTATATTTCAGGTTTAAAATACATCAACTGAAGAATGCAATGGAAAAGAATCAAACATTCTGTTTTCTAGAAAACCCATATAGAAGCATACTATTGTTAGTTTATTTCCCTTCAAAGCTCTGTAGAAGAAAGCTAATAGTCATTTTGAGATCTCATTCAAGACTTTCCTGCAGGAAGAAGTAAAATACTCTGCTTTATCTACAGGAGTGTTGGCAAACAGCATTGTGGTTTTTGTTTATTTTTACGAATCCTCAATGAAACCAATATTTTTAACTCCAAAAGCCTCCCCCCGCTGCTAGGGGGGTGTTTCACTAATGAATTGACAGTACATGGCTCTAATAGCCCCTCTCATGGCTCTAATAGAAGAGATTTCCCAAATTTGCTCCACCCAAAGTCTCTTTCTTTTGCCAGCCGGACATCTGTCTGCTCTGTAAGACTGTTGTTAATCAATCAGTTAAGAAATGTGTTCAGGTTGTCATATGAGTGTTAGAGAAATCAGTGATTTTTATGGTTGACTTAAAAAAAAGACTGTTCTGATGCAAATATTCTAAGAGTACTTAGTATCCCAGTAAAAGATATATATGGAATAATTTTCACTTTAAATGCTGAGTGTTCCTCTGTTTTACTACTATGGAAAAAAATAAATAATGTATTTCACTATTAAGTCAAATGTAAAAGTTGTTTCTAAGAATTGGGATGATGGTAAATATTTAAACGTAGCATTTTCTTTTATGTAAAAGAAAACTCATTGTGGAATCTCAGTAGTATGAGAAACACGGAAATGTTTAAATCCAGTTGTATCCTCTTGCTACAGAGCTTGTTAAATACACTTAACTACTTGATATTCAGATTTGGTGAACTGGTGTAGGGGTAAGAGGGTAATCTCTGCCTGTATTTTTGTATTTTGTGTAATGTTTTCATCTTCAATTTAGTTTAGTTTTAAAACAACTGCATTATATCTGTAACTGTTTTGAACTGTTGTGCTTTTAATGTAATGCATTTTTCAGACAATAATTGTAAAAGCATCTTCTTATTTTATTAATAGTAACATTTTTAAAGTATGAAGGACTGGTACTTAGACCTTAATGTCTGGAAAATACCTTCATTACAATTTTTTCATCTTACTTTTTTGTGTTGCAAATGTATTTGTGAATAGTAGATGGATGGAGATAGCTACTATGTAATCTTCTCTTTTAAAGTTCTGAGTTGTCCATCACTGAAGTAAAATACTCTTCTCACAGTTATGTTTCTGTTTCCTCCTTTGGTCTCTTAGGCATTGACAAAAGATCCACAGGATTATCCTGACAAAAAAAGCTTGCCACATGTGCATGTTGCCATGTGGATAAACTCTCAAGGAGGCCGAAAGATGAAGGCAGGAGACACAGTGTCATATATAATTTGTCAGGTAAAAATGTCTTTGTTTATAGCTAAATACTAGGTATTGCTTTGAGATATGGCAAAGAAAACCAACTCAACTCCTGGAAAAAATGTTTTGGCATTTCTTTGTAGTGAGGTTATGTTATGGTTTAAAATAGTCAGTTTTCTGTACTAAATTTAGTTTTATAGAACCAGAAAGAACCACTGTGATCAGCTCAGCTCATCTGACTACTTCCATATAGTGGCTGATAAAATTTCCCTGAATTAATTTCTGTTTGGAACTAGAACTTATTTTTAAGGAAAATACCGAGTCTTTGTTTTGAGGAGAAGAAAATTCTGGTGGTGAAGAGCCTGTCATTCTTGGAAAGCTAATTGGTGGTGGTGGTTAAATAGTGTCATTGTTATTTCCAGTCTCAACCTGTGTCTTTTGAATTCAGTCATTGGACCTAGCAGTACTTCTGTGGGATAGACTGGGGAATTTGAGAAACTTTCTGTTTTCAGGTGTTTATCCTATAAATGCTTATCATTATCTCACAAATATATATTCCGCTTCGGATTTGCTATTTTAAAAAAAAAAAGTTGGATTAGATGGACCAAGGGATCTTTTATGCCAAAATGATGGACTTGGCAATGTGACTTCTACAGTGGACCACTATTTCAGCTCCTTCATCGTTAAAAAATGAAAGATTTTTTTATTTAATTGAGAGCCTGGCATGACAAAGCTGCCAAGACTTATGAGAGCTGGGCTATGGGTACGGCTAAGCAATGGCAATACAAAAGAAGAATGTACTTGTTGAAAGAAGGGAACTGAAGGAATTGCATTGTAATTATTTTTGCAAAGCAGCTGGATGAGCTGAATAGTCCTAAATTAATTTTGTTCTGAATACTAAGTTGTCTGAAAGGAGTAGGAGGGACCAATGGCTTGCAGTCTGTCTTTATTAGTGATGGGTTTTCAGTCCGTAGTTGCTGACCCTATTGAAGCCAGTAGCTCATCTTAACTGAAAAATGAAGGTGTCGTATATTAATGCATTAGTTTCATTTTGCTGTAAAAAAGGCAAAAAAAGGCAAAAAATAAGCTGTGGTACTCCCCCCCGGCCATCCTCTAGGGTTTACTTATGTTACTGGATGCTTGCTAAAACACTACTTTAAGTTCTGCTCTAAGATTTTTGACACACATTAAAAATAAAATTTCCTAGCGTAGTTGTGGACTAGGAATACGATTCTACAGACCGAATGAATTACGTTTTCCAGAAGAGTACCATCTTCTTAGAGTTGATACTTAATTCCTCCATGAATACTGTTTTCATTTTAATTATTGCCTTCCCAAATTGAATTGTTTTTTCCTTATCTTCCTCTCCCAAGTTGGAGAAGAATGTAATGTATACTCTAACCTCTGAGTGGTGTTTCTCTCTTGGCTTGAGATGTCACCATGTGTTTCTTTCAGTATTTCCAAATATTTCAGAATTTCCTCTTTCAAATAGATACTATTGCCTCTGTCGTTTATCTGCATGCCAATGAATGATGGTCCATTCTCTGACCATTCATTCTATTTGTTTCTTTATAGAATCGAAGAATATAAATTTCCTAGCAAAACAGATATAGTTTTGATATCCATGACTTAGAATTTGCTTGTTGTGCAAAATGATAATGCTAGTTTAGTACAAAGTGAATCCAAAATGCATGCCCTCCGCGTATTTTTAACTGGGCTGATGGTTACAATGTGTTTTCATTGTGCATTTCAGAATTGACAGATGGGACTGTTTACTCTGTCTACTCTTACTGATTTGCACGTGTAGGCTGCAATAATACAAGCTGGATTTACATTCTTGAACTTGCTAGTTGATGCCAGCATCAGCAATGCAATTTTTTTTTACTACTGCTGGATTTGTATTGGATGCAAAAGAGAGTGATTGTGTAACAATTTTGCATTCAAATAATGCATAATATTTGAAGCATAATCCTTTGTATAGACTGAATGTGGATTTTACTTTTTTCACACTTAGTTTTGTATGTGTCTCCTGTCTTAGGATGGATCAGATCTCAGTGCCAGCCAGCGAGCATATGCTCCAGAACAGTTGCAAAAGCAAGACAATCTTACTATTGATACTCAGTACTACCTGTCACAGCAAATACATCCAGTAGTTGCTAGAATATGTGAGCCCATAGAGGGAATTGATTCAGTTCTTATCGCAACGTGGTTAGGTAAGTCTTCTAAATTAAGTTTATTTAAAGAATTACAAGAGACAAAGTGAGAAGTTTTAATGTATGTTTCTTAACAGAAATGCTTCCCAAAATCAGTCTTTTTACAATGAACAATAGCTGTGTTACACAGTCTGTGGAAAGCAGCTTGGATTGTAAGTGTATTTCTATGATTTTTGCAGAATACCATTTTTCAGAAGATGCTCATTAACATGAATTTAATCTTATAATCCTTGTTTCAGAGTTGCAAAAATTTACTGTTCATAAATGACAGTACTATTGCATGTCTTTGAGATTTCCTTAAGTTACTAAATTAGTTCTGGAGAGTGCATCCAGAACTAGCATCTTTCCAGAGAGAAACCCTAGCATCTCTAGCACCTTCCAGGGAGAAAGCAGTCATAGTTATAATGAAAGGATACAAATTTTTAGTAGGGTGTAAGTGAAGACTTTTGTTTGCTAGAACTGACCTGGTGGATAATAGAAACATAAAACCTTAGTAACAGTCTTGCCTGCTCCATATGGAGAAACAAAGTGACCCAAAAAAAAAAGTGCTGTAAAAATTATGACTAATGCTAGTGACCCGCAGAATCACCAGTTTTTATTCAAATGAGCAACAGGGAATTGCTCGTTAGAGTTGTTTTTCCTCTTAAGAGGGTGTTAAAGGAATTAGAATTAGAGATTTTTCTGCCCTACTCTGCCTCTGTCTTCTCTATTCCCTAGGCTTCTTACTTAGAAAGAAGTATAGATGTTGAAAAATTGTTAACAGTTTTATCCGGTCTCTTTCCATGAAAATACAATGCTGTGTGTGTAATCCTTTTAGTGTTGTTTCCTCCCTAAAAATGATTCACCAACAGACATGATGGATCTTCTTGATAAACAGAAATTTTGTGATTCGTATCCCACATCTAGTTCATTATTTTTAAAACTGTTACTCAAGGACACAGAAAAAGTTGCTAATCTTGCTGGCTGCTGAGTTCTTGACAAGACTGTCCTCTCCCACAAGGAAACTTTTTTAGAGAGTTGCACTGTGTCAGTTTAATAATCTCCTAATTGATGCTATGTCCATGTCTACAGGAAGTTCAGACCTGCAGAAATTATTTTGTTCAGAATTTTGGAACGCTCAAAGGAAGAGTTAGTCCTCAGCATTTTGTGTTTAGGTAATGGCCAAGGTCCAGGATTTGGTCACTGAAAACCACCCGGCAGCATGTTGCCTTCAGGACCATTCACCTGGGACACTGCATCTCTGTAGCTTCCTTACTAACAGCGGGTTCTGCTCATGGTGGGCTTGCAGTTTGCACTTAAAATGTGTGCAAGTAAGTTCCTGTCTTACAGGAATTTTGCTTGTTCTGGGAGGCTGCGAGGGTATTTCTTGGAGGCATTTGATGTTGCAGTGTGTCCTCAACAGCTCTGGTGCTTTGAGGAGGTGTCAGCCCTGCTTCACACGTGCAGGCTGACCATACAAATCATTCTGTTTATGTGGCAGGGCCTTGGTATACAACTTCCCCTTGATGTCAGGGTGGACTATGTGGTATGCCTGACTGAAAAGATCAAGCACTCTGGGTTAGGTTGAAGTGGTTTAAAATAGGCAGTAAACTTGTACTTCATTTAGGTAAAAGACAGGAAAGATTTCTGAAGCTAATTGGTTTTATTTGGCAAAAACTGTTAGTCTTGTAGAGTTAAGCTCAAATTCAGAATTGTTCCTTATTCACAACTGGCTCCCTTCAGGCACCTAAATTAAGTGCCCAGATCTTAAGAACTGTGTGCCACTTGATAGCATCTACTGTTTGCAAATGCCTATGCTGCTTTTTGTGCAATAGTATGTTCAAGATGAAAATTTCTTTTATGGTCTGTAATAGCATCATGCAGCTGAGAGTTTATTAATAGTCCACAATTGTCAGTCTGAAAACCTGTATGTATCTATTACAATCTTAGATCTGAAATGTGTTCAGTTTGACCTTGCTGTGCTGTAAAAATATTATCTCCTTCTCCAGCTTTGTTTTCTTGGGAATGCTTAAATTGAGCTTGGGGGTAAAGTCAGGTCTTTTTCAAAACTTCTGCTCTGCACTTAATCAGAGTTGTACATAAATCGTTGCAAGCTGAAGTTATCTTACAGCTTTTTTTTAACAGTATCGGAGGGATAGTCAAGTGGTTTTGTTTCAAAGAAATTGAAGGTAGTTTACAACATACAAAAGTGTACAAGATACTTGAGTCCAGTTTGCTAGAACAAGCAAACATGAAAACCGTTTACTGTTCTGTGTTGCTAAGTTGGGCTTTTTTGCTTAGTATTTTCATCATGTTACACATCCAAATTCCTGTCATTTTTCCTATCTTGTTGCAAAAGAGCATATTTTTCTGTTCTGAAGAAGAAAGCTGGTGTTCTGGAGGATATCTAAGTGTCATATCTGTGGACCAAAACTTGGTTGCATTCTCATTGTGTGCGTCTTCCTCTGCCTGATCTGGTCTATTGTGTTATGCAGGGTATGTGTCTGCATAGGGAGAATGGTTGTAGAAAAAACATCTCAGTTTCGTATTTAACGGAATCTCTTTATAAGGTGAATGTTTCATTGATATGTCACCGCATTAGTCCAAGTAGATAAAATTGAGCTCTGCTTAGGGAAGCTTGGCTCATAGCAAAACAGTGAAAATTCTTTGTTCTGTCTGTGCTCAAAACAAGTTATTTTAAGCTATTTTAGATGCCGAAGAACAAAAGCAAATAACCACACCTAAAAATTGCAGAGAACTCCTTAAATATCATATTTATTCACTATGGAATCAAGCTGAAAATTGCCTTTTGTTTTTGGACATTTTGGGAGGTCTGCCTAGCTTTTGAGAGATGGAAATTCATTGTTCCTAAAAACAAGACCCTCATGGGCGTACTCCTGCATTCACTCTCTTTTTCCTGAAGTTCTCAAGAAAAAGCAGTGACAAGATGAGGATTGTTACGGTTTCTGAAACTAAGTAAAGTGTGCGATCTGATCAGTAATATCATTCAATAAATCTGATCTTCTTAAATGCTTGGAGACCTTACTTCATCCTGAAGATACCTATAGCTTTTAAACGAAAAGAACTGTATTGGTAGAACAATTCTCTTAACGTATTTAAAGTAAGGGGTTTTTTTGTTGATACTTGAGTACTGCTCCTGGTCTCAAAGAAAAATCACATGTTATTTCTGTGTTGTCAAAAGTATCTAAACATTATGGAAGGAGAGTCATTTAACCATGAGATTTTTGTAGCTGTTACTGCGTAACATCATTTTCTCTAAATTATGGAAGTTGCTGACTGCTGTCTTAGACTGTGTCATGGTCTTCTGAAAGAGATGCTTGCCGGTGGATGTGCACGTTGATGCTCTGCAGATTGCTTGGCATTTGGGCATTTCTTAGGAAGGCTATCTAATTTCAGGGAGTCATTACTGGGTCCTGATGAGGCTTGTCATTAAGAGTACTGCCCAGTACCGGTTCCTCATTCCACGCAGTTGTCTGCATGTTAGCTGGTCCTTGTAAGGAAACCCACCACCACCTTGAAGATGCTGTCTTTTTTTTTTTTTTTTTCCCGTCTTCCTAGAGAGTCATTTAATAGGTGCCTTTAGTAGACTATTTAGCAGCTACTCGGGCTGACCCTTCTGACAGAAGCCAGGACAGTTGTGCTCTCCTTGTGGCACGCACAAATTACATCAGGTTCTGTCTTGGTTTTCTCACATTAGGGAGTGAAGCGAGAGGAGAATGATGGAAATTAAGATTAAAGTAATGACAAAACTTCATGGCAATACAGTAATAAACCCCGAAGTGTATCGATTTTGCTGTCTGTGCTCTAGCTGGGGTTTTTTTGAGATGCTCTGGACCTGCTTAGACACAGAGACTCGCTGAAGTGCGTCGCGTGTTCTGACTGCGCAAGAGGCCGTTTTAAGGACCCCGTGCAGAAGGCACGCTAGCTTTGCAGCGCAGGAGGATCTCTGAGAAAAATAAAAAAAGCCCGCGTTTCCGAAGGGCAGAGGCCTTGGCCGCCCGGGGTTAGATTCAGAGGGCGGGCGGGCCCGGCCGGGCGCCGCGTCGCCCTGACTGAAATGCGCGGCCGTAGCCTCGCGGTGGCAGCACCGGATGCCGTTTCCCTGCCTCTCACAAAATGTCTACCGGGCAGAGGTACTCGCGGGGAAACTTTCCGTGCTTCCTGACTGACCTGCGGCTGAAATACGAAATCCAGGGAAAAGCCCTCGGCCTTTGTTCAGCGGGCCGCGGGGAAACCGGCCGGCGTCCTGCCAAGCGGCTGCCCGGCGGCCGAGGCTCTGGGGCGGCCCTGCCTTGCTGCCTGCCGCGCCGTTCTTCCCTTGGGGAGGGTGGAGGCACGGCGGTAGCGGTGTGCGTGGAGGGACGTGTAAAAACGATCTGCAGAAATGTTATTTTTGAAATGCTGCGATGAGTAAAATTTATTTGACCTTTTTTCAGTTTCTTGAGTGACCTCTTTTGCTTGCTAGTTAGTGAATCTTTTAATAATTCTATTAAATAACTCAGGAACAAGTCCTGGAACTTGCTTTTATTATTTACTTTTGTCACGCTAGGTTCATCCACGTTTTTTTAATGTTACATTTCTTGGTCACGCATGCAATCTTGCAGTTTTGTTGAGGTCAGAAAGCTTACCTGTGGTACAGGTAGTTTAATGATAGACCTGAAGATTTCCATGTCACAGTAAGTCAAAGTCCCTTTGATTTTTCCTGATGTCATGGAAAAAAAAGAAGAGTTCAGAGAAGTTCACCGATTGGTCTCATCCTATTCATTTTAAAATTACCAAAACCAGATACTTTTTTTTTCCCCCCACTCATCAGATAGTCCCTGTTGTGTTTACCAAGTAGGGTAATATGACCAGTGTGACCTGGTCCGAGAGCATACCAGTTAGTGTGCTGAAATGGATTAATTGAACCAACTAACTGTTCCTGAAAGGAGATAATAGATAAAATAGGTTCCCAATTCCACAAGATAATTAAGGCAGGCATGTTCTTTAAAAGCCTGATTTGTAGTCCCTTTGATTTCACTGGGGCTGTTTGCACACCAAAAGTTAGATGTACACTTGAATCATCACAATATTTTTCCTGTTGTTTTCTCCAGCCAAAACAGCTAAGAAAGTTCAGAGATAGGTGTGATTTAAATTATTTCAATGAATAACTTTTTTTCTTTTTCCTGTTAAATTATTACCAAATGTCCAGATGCTTATTTGCTGTCATTGGTTTTGACTTAATATTGGAAAACTGCAGTTGTCTGAAGACCAGAATTTATCTCCTTTTATCTTTTATTTAGTGAACTAATTTGCTCTATATTTGCCTTTTGGGAAACAACCAAAGATAGATTTCTAGCTGAACTTTAATGGCATCTGTATCGGAAAGTTGCAACGATGTTTTTTCATTCCACTTCTGAACTCAGAGTAAACTGAGAATTTTTGTTTGTATTCACCATTACTGTCTTAGATCCAACCTGCTGCATACTTAGTTGATTTTTTGCAAAATCTTACTACTAAATTCAAGTCCCTTTTCTAAACCTTTTATATACTACCTGTGTGTTGCAGAACATATTTTTTTTTCTAAAACAGCAAATATATTACCAACCCTTTTAAAAAAAAAAAAAGAAAGAAAGAAAAAAAAAAACAAACAAAACTGCACAGTCTTTTTTGGGGGGTACCATATGTATTAGAGTGTAAAATAAGCTATTAGCAATGTTTTTTGCTATGTTTGCTCTTCCTTTTAATGAATAGTAGAGAACTGTATTAAAAGTTTAAGAACCTCTTGGAGGTGAATTGTTACCCTTATGCATTGACATGTGTTTCTTTTGATAAAATTGGGAAGATTGATTAAATTTTAGTGAAATCCCTATTCTATCAAGAACTAAACAAACTTATTTGGCAATGGAATTCTTCCTTGTCCTTGAGTTTGTTTTATGATTGCAAAATAGAAATTCAGACTAGCGATAGTCAAGTCACACATATCAAATCTTTTATGTAAAGACAATCTATATCTGCATGTGTAACAGAACTGTTTCATATGTGCAATAATATTTGTCTAGTTTAACTGAATATTGTTCCCAAACATTGTCTTTAAGTCTCCTGGTACTGTGCAGTAAGGTTAAGAACAACTATAAAAATCTAGCTTCACTTTCTATTTGTAATCTTTCTTGCTCTTCCTATAGTAATTATTACATTTGTTACTGAAGTTTACACAAGATATGGGTTAATACATGATAACCTGTTACTTGGCTTAATTAGTCTCTGTTAAAAATATTTTTTTAAGTGCTTCTCTTTGATCTTTTCTTCTTAATAATAAAGTAAGCCATAGTTTTCCAAACGTTTTCTTCTACGTGCTCATTCGATTAGTTTTTTTTTTCCTAGCATGCGCTATTTGCTAGAGTTAACAAAAAAAACCTGTAAATGGGATACATGGACTTTTAAAAGGTTACACATGACAAAGGATGACAAAACCCGTGGATTTTTATTAAGTTTACTTTGGCAGTCTTATTCCTAGGGCAGTGAACTTCGTGCTTGCTTGCTTATTTACTTATTTGTGGTTGAATCAGTATTTTTAGGATCTCTTTTGTGTATTTATTTGTTTAAAATCTTGAGTTCTGGCAATCAAAAATAAAGCATTTTGTCTCCAGTGCTGCCGTTTTAAATGCTGCTGCTGAATTTTAACCACTGCATTAGATTGAAACCTACATGCTGTTAACCACTGAGCCAAAATGAAATCGACCACTGCATTGAAATCAGAGTTGGCAGTTGTATACGGACTTGAAGGAGTTGCTAATAGCAGTGCACCCGCGTTTCTTTAATGGGGTTTTTATTCTCTGTTTTCAGTTTTAATGGTGCCATTTTGATTTAAAAACTGTTTCTTAATAACGATGCACATTTTTTATTGAAATATTTTCAGTGTAACTTAAGAAGAAAATAACAATAAAGCCATCCGTTAGGAGTGTTTTCCTCAGAAACAAAATGTTCTGTTGCATATTCCCATGATAATGCAGTGTGCTTGTTTTATTTATAAAGCAATCTTGCGTAAGAAGATAAGTAAGAAGATTTCTTCATGTTTCGTGAACCTTTATTCGTGGTTAAAAATTGTAAAATGTATTTATGTTTTATAGAGGAAGTTTTGCTAAGGAGAGATTTTCAGCTTCTGAATTTACATTTTGTAACTTTCTTTTGAATCTGCTTCACCAAGCATATGAAAAATGAGCCTACTTGCATGGTTGACCTCTTAGTCTTTTGAAATTTTTGTTTCTTATTAATAGGACTGGATCCTTCCCAATTCAGAGTCCATCACCATTACCATAAAGATGAGGAGAATGATGCCTTGGTTGGTGGCCCAGCTCAGCTCACTGATGAGGAGAAATACAGGGATTGTGAAAGATTCAAGTTTTGCTGCCTCAGATGTGGAACAGAAAATATTTATGACAATGTCTTTGATGGTTCGGTTAGTTTTTTTTTTTCCTGTTTCATTTCAGTTCATCAGTGAGGGAGAAAAATACTTGTAGAGAGAACGGCTTTTCAGATAGGATTCGTATGATGTGGGAGAAGATACCATATTGTTTGAGTCCTGCTATTTATAGCTTTGGAACAGAAATTTGCTGATAGGATAGTGCTGAAATATTTTTCCCATTTTTGCGTTTCAGCTGTGCCGTCTGGCAGAACGTGTGAGATATCTGGCTTCATTAATCTGTTTGCCCACAGTAGTGAATGATTGTTGCTGTAACTTTTTAAGGAATCCTTATCTTAACACCTAGTAACTTCCAGTTCTCTGTTTAATGAAACTTTCATATAGCAATGGCAATTTCTTATCCTAAATCATATTAATTGGAATGAAGCAGTTTTGAAACTTGTGTTTATCTTGCTACATCCCACCTCCCTTCTTGACAGTAAGGTTTTTCTGTGTTATCTTTCCTTCTGTCTTTGTGTATTGAACATAAAAAGTCATAGGGGTACATTCTTGTTGAGACGTTCTGCCAAAAAATGTATCTCTGTCCTTGGATCACAACTTGAAATAGGGCCAAGTATTTAACTCTACAGAGATGTTATGTATGTATTAGTCATTGGCAAATTAGCAAGCTTCAGAGTAGTGAAAACCTTGAAACTGAAAGCAAATAAATCTTTTATCTAAATTAAAAGTAATTATTTTAAGTTAATTTGGACAAACAGCAGATGTTTTGCATTTTTTTGAATCAAAATAAAGCAGTCTTTGGAAGCAAGTAAGAGGAAAAGACACAAATCGAGTGATACTTTGTGAATCCTTGACTTTTGTTCATTGCAGCTGTAAATAAGATAGTTAATTGCATGTAGGCTCGACAACTTGCAGATGGGCTAACTGGAGAGAAGTGGATGTCAAACTCCTTTTTTTAAAAAAAAAAAAAAAAAAAAAAAAAAAGCCCCACCAAACAACAAAAGAATCCCCTAAACCAAACCAAAAAACCCGCCTCTCTTCCACCTGGAATTATTTAGTGTTGTGGGTGGGGGTTTAACCAAGATGGCTCACAAAAGCTAAGTCTTACCTTGAAGGAAAGTTTTCTAAAAGTTGTATAACTGTCCAACCTACCAGCTGGTTGTTATTTTAATGAGAACTCTACCAACTTAGTTTCAGCTGTTCACACATCACTTCCAGGTTCTGAAATTTTAATGTCAGGTGTTCAGAAGGTTTTGAAAGTAAGGGGAATGAGATGGTGTAAAACTGTAAGAGCTATTCTTTGCACTTGCAGAAGATAAAAGATGATCATGTTATTTTTGTTTAACGAGGTTTGTCTCTACTAATTTCATAATCAGTATCTATAAGGTTGATTTCAATGTTCTGATCAGTGGTCTTGGGCAGAACTTTGATGTCCCTGATAAAACAACAAACCTGTGTTGTTTGGGGGGAGACAGGGGAGTGTGATTTGCCCATAGATGAATTTTTTTTACTCCACATCATTTTTTGAATGATTAACTTTGTAGCAGGTGAAGAAGCATGTTCTCCAAAAGACCTTTCATTAAGAAGAGATTGGGAAAACTGTAGGTCAGAGAAGTCTTTATATGGGTGTGGCCAACTGTCATGGGAAGAAAGAAGGCCTGGATATTAAAGGCCCTTTAAGACTATTATTTTTAAAAAATATGTATTATGTCTAAACTCCTGTGATACCTTCTGCTACCATCATCTGTTGTAATGATGCATGCTGTTTTTACACTTCTGTTTTCAGGGGCGATTTATTGAACCCAGCTTGCAAAGGTGCAGTAAGACTGAATGTGAAGAGCCTCCTTTCAGCTATGTGATTCAAATGAACAACAAATTACTGTTGGATATTAGACGCTACCTCAGAAAGTACTATAATGTAAGTATTCAGAAAATATTCTGCCATATGAAATGAGTTTTCTAAGTGGTGCTGAGTTTTTAGTGACTGTCATGTTACTTTTTTTTTTTAATAGTCCAAGGTAATAGCATGCAACATCAAAACTCAACTTTATGAAAACAAAACAATCAATTAATGATTTCAAATACTAATTTAGGATGTTTGTTTTCTCAGTTCAGTCTCAAGTCAAGATAGTCAGATGTATTTAAATGTTTGTAACTCTGTGTGTCAGCATTATTACAGATGTAGTAGCTCTGTTTTCTGGATTTTTAGACAAAAAGGTGCAGAGTTGATTATCTTAATGCTTTTGAGAAAATCTATGAAGCCTATCAAATACGCAGATACCAGTTTCTCATGTAATTGAAATCTGATTCTCTTTCTCCAACCCAAATTGATGTATATTGTGTTACATTGTGAAAAGGAAAACTGAATGTTGCTCTGTAAAAATTCTTTGAAGGACAATAGGAAGGGGAATACTATGAATCTTTCTTCATAATGGTTGGGAGAGGAAAAAAGAGGAGAAAGATGGGTAGGTAATTAATTTGATATAATTCTCTTTTTTGAGGGGCAGTGCAAGAAATCCAAAGTGCCAACGGTAGTGGTCGGCTTTGTAAGGCATTGTGGAAAAAAAAATGTGTAATATTTGAAATTCCCATCTTCACATTGTCCAAAGTGGTGACTGGTTAGGAAAAAAAACCACCATGATTTTTAAATTATATCAGTATGTTTGCATCTCTAATACGCTGGAAGCATCACATTTTGTGAATTGGCAGATAGCCATTTTGGTCAAATTTTCATAGATCATCTCATCCTATTGCCTGCCTGCCTTTTTTGGTTGTCCAACGTTACCTGTTTTCACAACTTGAGGGTAGACATCAATCTTGAAGGCACTCCTAACCTTTGGGTGCTCATAACCTTTGATATATTCAAAACTGTAAATTGTTTTTGAGTATTTGGCCTGTAAATGAATGGCTTACCTAATTCGTGGTGTGTTTTCTTAAGTTTTGCAGACAGCAGCTACAATGCTAAGAATTATCATTATAGCTTAATGCTAAGTGTGCATTTGGTGTTATCTTTCTTTTATATTAGTTCTTATTGCAGTTGTAGGTAAGTGTTTTCTAAGCTCTTTTCTGGAAATGTAATAATTTCTGAATGTATAAATACTTCTTTTGAAGGTCTTTGCATCAAAAGGAGCACAAAACTTTCTTAGAGTATTTAAAGTCAGGCAGTATTTCACAAGGTAGGGATAGATTGTTCCTTTCTGTTGAAGTTAAAGGTAGATGACTTGGACAGGTGAAGTTACCAAAATGCGAGATCTCACATTACTTTATTGCAAAGTCCCACTGGCTGCAAAATTATCGTTCAATTGATATACATTATATATACATATTATATTAAATTATACAATGTGTTATTAAATAATATGTCAAAGTAATTTGTTGACACTGACTGCTTTTGTATAAAAGTTGCTACTGATTAACTTTTTTAGATTTAGTGTATGTACATTATGATAATACACAATGCCACATGCTAAGTAATTGCTGACGTATAAAGTGCTAGAAAACATGTGCATAAGATGTGCAATAGTAAACTTGGTGAATAAAGGAAGATACATTCAAGGGCAGGAAAAATTCTTATTACTGATAAGAACAAAAAGTGGTGTAATATTTTACTCTGTTCTCCTTTTTTATTCCTTTTTTTTCCCTTTTTTTTTTTTTAAAGACCAAGCTGTGAACCAAACTGTGAAATGTTTCAATATTGAACATTGCAATTTGCTTACATTGTATTAAAATCTATTAATTGTCTTACTGCATGGTATATAGGATAATGAAGTGTCCTTCAAAAGGAATTTATTTGTCCGTGTAAGTAAAAGCTTTATAAACTGTGTTATATTTTTAGTACTGAGAATTTACTTTTCACCTAGTTAGCTATAATAATAAGGTTTAAAACTACTTTTTGACTGTGGAATACATTCAGACTTTGGAAATGCGAGATTATTGTATCGTAAAAAGTAATTTCCAAATTGCACAATAATTTTCTTTTTAAAAAGGGGCTTTCCATGAAGTTGGGCAAGTAAACTTTTTGTCCTGTTAGCTCTTAAAAATCAGATGCTGTGACTTTTAGTTTATTCCTTTCATCAAGTACTTGTAGTGACTGTATAACAGCTGGAGTTGAAATTCATCAAATGGATGTTTGCACTAATAAATATAATCCTATAAGCTATAAAGATACACCTAGAAGTAGTATGGCAAAGAACTGTCTGAACAAAACATTTGATGAAACTTTGAGATGCTTATTTAACAGACTCCTATTGTAGTGTTTGCGTCTGAAAGGCGCAGAAATACAAATTTAAAATAGACAAATATATTTTCATACCATTAATTTTTTTTTTTTTTTTTAGATATTACTGTTGTTTGTGTGTTGGTCAAATGGCACATAATACAAAAAAATGCGAAAAAAATTTTTAACCTTTAAAATAATGAGCTACCTTTTATGAAGACAGCCCTATCAAGAGCCTTTCGGCCTGATCCATAGCTCACTGGAATGAATAAGCTTACTTTTTTCAGTGAGCTTTGAATCAGATTTTTTTAAAGTGTTTAAGATCATTGCATGTTGTTTCCTTTAGTCTATTGAAATGCTTTTATTTGTGGCTGCGTAAATTTAGGGGCGGGGGGGAGTGCCATAAAATCTAAAAGTGGAAAATCTACTTGCCCTTTTTGGCACATGAAACTGATAAATAAATAAATACAATGGTGATATACTTCTTTCCTTTAAAAAGATGCAAATGTAAGTGCGTAAATAGAATTTTGTAAACCTCCTACAATCTCATTGTTTTTGTAAATTACTTGCCTTTATATAAAATTTTCTGTTTCCACAATCATTTTTTGCCATTAAACATTGAAATGTTTTATATCTGTCTTCCAAAACATATCTACCATTGCTCCAGTATTTATGGATTTCTTAATGGTATTAACAATATCAATTTTGATAATCTTACTCCTAACTGTAAATATATCTAAAAAATGACATGCAAAGATTTTATTTCTTTTCAGAAATGCATTATTCTATGAGAGATTGATCCTGTTGTGTGCTTGCTTTTTTTTTTTTAATTCTGCTTCAGAAGAGCAAATAGATGAAAAGAGAGAGAAACGCTAGCTAATCTAAATTGGGAAATGAAGAGGGCTTTTTTAAGCATGAAAATTTCATCATCTTGTCAGCTGGCAGAATGCCTGCTGTGTGGATTCACAAAGGCTAAGAATTACACTTTCATGAAATTTTCCTCACTAACTGCCCTGGTTAATTTGAAAGATAACCCACTGTTCTAATTCATTCCTCAATTGGGCGGTGCAGGTTTTATCTTTGATCTGACAAAGCATTTGTGTTAATCGTTTTGGCCCTCTACTAGACACTCTTGGGATTGTGCTTTTACAATAAATGTGTCTGTGATAGCTCTTTAGTCTATTATACTTACAATAGATCCATAGAACTGGTAATTAATTCTGTACTGCTTTGGAAATGGGGAAGAATAGGTGTAGCTCTGTCAAGTGCTGCTGGGAAGTTTGTTTAGCTAGTTCATTTTTGAAGTGTTACCCTCAGCCATCAATGAAACATCCATGCTAGGGAATGGGTGAAGGCTGAAATATGCAAGCATAAATGTTAAAACTGACCAACTTCTGTGCATAAGGAGGGTGTCATTTCATTTATAGTAAGTGGATCTAATTATTATGATGGAAACTGTTTTGTGTTTCTCACTAGAATATTCAAATGCTCATTTCTGAGCACTTGGTAAATGAATGCCATCTCTTAGATCCCCTTTTAAAAAGCCCTGTAAAAATCAGTATTCACATCCATAAAACGAATCCCATATCTTATTCAGCTGTTGAGGTGTTAGTTTTGCCAACTAAAAACTGAATAAAAAAGCCCAACATATTGTATATGCCATTTGAACAGTATCAAAATTCATACTGAACTGCTTGGACTGGGAAGCTGTTGTCCCTGAAGCAGCCGTTTTCTAATCTTGTTTTTAAATATGCACCTGTGGTATTATTAGTAGTATATTTATAGGCTAAAAGCTGTTCTTATATAGATGCTCTTTATATGCTGTCTAGTTAATAGTGCATGGCATCTTTAGATCTTTTTATGTTTTTCAAAATGTGTAAAATGATGCAAACCTTAAAAGGGTTTTAAAAAATACTGAAAAAATCTTGGTCAAATGTTTTTGTTTTACAGTCTTTTTCTACTGGACCACTGTAACCCATGGACAGAAGTGAGTTTGAAGGCTATTGAACACTGCTAAATAACTTTATACTGTTCAGCTGCGAAAATGCAGTGTTCAATAGCCCTCAAAATTTCTCATTTCTTACCTGTGGTGGGGTGGTCTACTGCTTGCACATTAGGTCGCAGTATAAAAGCATGTTGGTACACTTTTCAAGATCTTTGAATTATTATCTGATATATATATATTGCTGTTCTGACTATTGTATATGTTCTTGGGTTTTGCATTAGTATTTTGCGCACTTAAAAAGGTAAAAGATTTATAAACAAGATAATATTATAAGAGGCAATAGCGTTCACACAGGTTTTGGGATTGCATGGCATATTTGCTTAAGAGAACAAAGATGACAGGGCTTGTTGGGAACCTGGAATCTCCCACACTGCAATCAAGTGTATTGCCACAGGTGTACACCACATGAACAGGTGAAAATATGATTGTAGATGATGGTGATGACTTTTGTAATCATGTTCTCGCAACAGTCATGTATTGAAAGCTTTTTTGTTTGGTGGGGGGGTAGGGGTAAGAAGTTTCTTTGGCGTGAGGGAAAGGTGCTTAGTAGTGGCAATAGTACAATATTTTATTTATCGCTGTGCTAATAGTACTAGAAGTATATGGGCTTGTGATGAAGAGTAGGTAGGGCCAGAAAATAGAAGGAATTGTGACACCAGCTGATGTGGTAGGCACAATCAGATAGCTAGACTCCGCC